TGCTATTTTAATACTAACTGACACTCTGGATATGGACAGGCTATAAACCATAGCATTTTGTGCGCATTTGATTTTCGCCATTTTAGCGCTGACGATTGTAGTTTTTAGCGGTGGTGAGGATTCGAACTATCAATAGACATAGATTTAACTGTCATGAATTGCATTTCCAAGCAATGATCTAGTAATTTATATTGATAGCATCCTTATCATAATATTAAATTACTTACTACGATTATAATGAAGATGTATACATTGTAGTTATAAAAGATCAAGGCATTAACCTCACAGATGACCTAAAATACATAATATTGCTCCTACACGTGTCAATTCTATGCGAGAGTTGACGTCATTGCTTTTATGTGCTACTTATTTTGCTGACCGTATCCGTTTGTATAAGCAATCTTTATTAGAATTCCGCATAAAAATTAATCAGAAATTTTATAGACAGTAAATTACATATACATTGGGAAGGGGACAATATTGTGTTGTCATGGTGAAGGAAAACATCAAAGATATATAAAGATATATAGGAAATCAACCAACCCGAACTGCGCCAGTGTAGTTTCCTTCCTCAGAGGGTATGTGTAGTGAGCTGACGATGATATGTCAACGAGAAAACACAAAGGCGAAAGTTGTAATAAAATTAGATATCACACTTATACTCTTTAAGACCTAGAAGCTAGACTTTTATTTAACAAAATATTGACAATGAAAATATGCTTTATTAGTTTAGATTTAGACGAAAAAGAATTAATTATTAATTAAGGTAGGCAACGCATATGCAATTGCGTATGTCTATGGGCAACGGTCACTTCGCTATTTCAGCGATTTCAGGTGGCTGCTCGCTCGTTTGCCATCTTATGATATAAAAAAAAATCTTGATCTACTAAGTTATTATCGTGTACTAACCTACTATTGATACATACATAATAAGGTTATACAATAATGTTAACTCCTTATCAAAACAAACTGACATTTATGTAAACATAGAACCCAACAAATATGACGTAAATAATATAATATTCAAATACAATATTATTAGCAAAAATCGATTATTAAATAGTTTTCATTGCAGTTACAGAACGTGTTAATAAAATAATTCCTTAATCGACAACATACTTCGTGTTTGCGCGTGACAATCTTATCAAATGGCCGACACGCTAAGGCTGCTTCCATACGGCGCGAGCGGTCTCGCCATATCGATATGCAACCGATGTATCGATATGATTTTATTGTTCGTATTCTTCTGATATTGAATGTAGTGGTGATTAAATATATTTGCATGTAAAAAAAATATAAGTAATAAATGAATATATACAATGTAAATTAACAATAAATACTTTTCATACGAAATTAAAAAAATATCGGTTTGGGCTTTCGATACTGATAGGTTAATCTTTGCACTTATTTCAAATGCATTTTTATTATTGTACTCATTTTCCTCGAATAATTACAACAATTTACGTAATCAATGTATAGTAAGCCTTAAGAGTTTAAATTCCATCCATAGTCGTTACCGATGTAAATTGCTATTATTGCCTAAGACTGTCAACTCGGCAGAAATGTTGATACGTGATACATCCGTGCTAAAACTATGATAATCACTGACTAAGCTGTCAGCTACAATGTAAAAGAGTTTATTCCACTAAGGTCTAGTGATTTAGTCCGATAATGTCACGTAAGATGGATGAACTGTAGTTAATATTTTTATGGTTCTGAATGTTTTATGGTTATAGTGTTGTAAGTGGGACAGTCTTATTATTATATTTTAGGTTCTTATTTTTAAAACCTTAGCATTTTTATGAAATACATATAAGCAATGCGGACATTAGTGTAGGGATACAATAGTATCTTATAGTTAAATAATTGTAATAACGTAAACGGTTATTCTCTCTCTCTCTCTCTCCCTAGCTTGCATCCCACAAGGTGGTGGGGTCAGCTTTCCCAATCCGTCTCTTCCACTTCGCTCTGTCCATGACATCTTCTTCTGAGACTTGGCACTCACTCATGTCTTTTATTACTACATTGGTTATTGCTTATCATAATCATGAAATGTAACTATTACTCATAATAACGGCTATTAAATATAGAGACATTCTCTACAATAGAAGTATGTATGGAATAGACCAATAATGTATCAAATTATTTTATTTGTTTAGCGCTGCACGTGCAAGTTTTACGCTATTGCATTTCCAGCGTCGTTTTAAAAGCTAAATCGTCAATACAGTTAGTTATAAAGTTACATAAAAAGATATATAATAGTGTCATTGCCTTGCTAATTTTTAACACAATAACCATAGTAACAATTACATCATTCATAGTTGCTTTTGCGTTGTAACCTCTATTAAAATGTCAATATAAAGTACTCTGTGCAAACCTGTACAATATAGTCAATTTAAATTTATAATTATATTATAGAAAAAATTGAGTTTTAAAATTGTATTTTAAACTAGTAATTTATTTTACTATGATTGTATATCTATACATATCCATTTATATGTTTGCATTGAAAAGGCTTCGAAACTAATGTACTGAACAGATTTGACAAATTCTTTCACTTTTTGGAAGCTACACTATCCTCAGGTTGGACAATATTTATCACTAGTCTGATGCCGCCCGCGATTTCGCCGTGCAGAAATAAAAAAAAAAACTTAATTAGTAGCCTATCTGTTCTTCCAAAATATGTTCTATTTGTATACCAAATTTCATCGAGATCCATTCTGCCGTTCTGGAGATACCTTCAAATTAACCTCTATCCATATATCTAAACATTCGCATTTATAATATTAGTAAGATCAGTTATTAAATTCCACGTTGATGAAGACGCTGCTAATAATTTTATACAGAATAAAACAGAGATAGGTAACAGGGTAAGCTAAAACAGCAAGGTTAAATCTTTACATAATTATAGTTAATTGAGTACAGTTGTATGCCAACGCCAAACAATTTATCAAGTTAAGATAAGAATGTTCAACTGATCGTTGTCAAATTCTTGATAAAGTATATCATTATTGTTCATTGTCAGTTTTAGTAGTTACCCATAGTATTGTATATTTTATGTATACTCTAAATATCTGAGATGATCAATTAAAAAAACAAAGTTGTACAAAAAATCAGAATTCAGAAAATTCATAGTATTATAGTGTTAAGATTTTCCGTGATAAATGTTATCAGATAAATGCCACTGGCAGTTGATAAAAAGAGCATAAGTTCGCATGTACGTATTTCTTTTACAAATTTAAGTATTTGAATAGTTTCCAGATAAACTCTAAAAGAAATTTCTCATGGAATGTGGTTAGGTTATGATATCTGTATCAGTCTTGTGTAGCTACTATTTGCATGTGTTTGTGTATTTAAATTTTTAATACTAACCAATACAGATGGATAGTTCATTGCTTGAAAATGACAACTTTTGCTTTGTGTAAAAGGACCTGTTGATGTAGCTGACAAATTCTATCTTTATTATTAGTTCGCATCCTCACCACCGATACCAATCAAAATCGTTACTGGCAAAATGGCGAAAATGAACATGGCACAAAACACCACATCTTATAGCCTGTCTATATATAGAGACCAGTAGTTTTTAATAGTAAATTATTAAAAAAACCGTCAGTTACTGTAGATTTCTTAGTGACCACTGTGATCGTTATCGTATCTTTGATTGTTAATAAAAGATTACACGTTAGATAAATTAACTGTTTCCCTGCCAATGTATCATTTTGTAATAGTATGAACGAAAAGAGCATGAAGCGAGATATTAAAAAACGATTGAACCTACGACATCTCAGTTAGTATTGTACAACTAAAGTGTCGTTTTGCGTCCCTATTGCACAAATAGGCAGGCTATTGTTATTCCATTGCTAAACCATAATTGTCAAATAATTTTAAACAAATTGAAATAATTTAATAAAAAACAACACAACATGGCCGACAAGTTAAGTTTTATTCAATAATCTGATGAAATCTTTAAAAATTATTGAGACATCGCAATAAAATTTGACGCTACGTTATTGTTGAGCGCCACAAATAATATTAAAATTATTTCTTTATTTAAATTAACTTTGTGGTCAGAGAAATGTAGATACAAAATTAATTTTAAAAATACTTTTTCCACTTGCCAGTCTCCTTATTGCCCGAGTCACACTATGTAAGTAAACTCAAATTCAAATGAAAGTGATAAATTACATTTACACATGTCACTGGCTGACTATTGTCTATGGACTTATTTTGAAAAGTTTCACTGTTGATACAAATATATAAAGCGTCTATAGCCTAATGGTTAAAGGTACGGATATCTGATCATGAGGTCGGGGGTTCGAATCCTGCCATTCGACTATTGTCGTAAACCATGCACAAGCCTAGAGCTTAGTTGGAAAGCTAATAAAAAAATATGTGTCTGTGATTACAGCCTTAATGAGGTAAAATTGTTGTAGACAGGTTTTCTTATAAATTATAATTTCTATTGAATTTGACTATGCAAATGTCCTAACCGGTGCGATCGTTTAGACCCAGACGACTTTAAAATATGAGATGTCATTTGACCCGTGAATTTCCCCGTAGTGTGTTGCGGATTGTCTGGTGGCTGTTTGTAAAGCGTTTAGAGCATAATTATATGCCTAATTACATTGTATACATACTGTAAATGTAAAAAGGTTATAATTAGAAATCCATCTGTTTATTACCTTAGCTTAAAATACGTGGAAGCTCAATTAGGCTCGTTAATGTGTGTTTGTTAAATATTAATAATGAATGTAGATAATTAAAAATATTCGATTAAACCGTTGCTTATTCCAGTATTGACATTTTTTTTAGGCTGTAGTGTATAGTCTCATGATTCGTAATAATATTAGGCCTTAACTTTTGCATTTCGATTCTCATATCTAGCTCTTGACCAAGTGATACGAGAATGTAGTCTGCTCAATAACGGCTCTTAATTAAACTAATTATATGTAACTGAATTTTGTAGAATGTTTTTTCTAATTGTTGTATTATTGTTTCAGAGTAAGCGGGTGGGCGCGCGCGCGCTGGCGGCGGCGGTGGCGCGGCGCGCGCGACGACAAGCGATCGCCGACACCGACTCGGACGCCGACGCCGACTCGAAGCGCACCGGCGAGCGCCGCGCTCAGTGCCGCCGCGCCGCGCCGCCGCACCGCTCGCATCATGCTAAACATGAAGCTGAAAGAGCGGCTTGCGCTCGCGATCAGCGCGCTCCTCGTACTCTTCACGCTTATGCTCGTGGTTGACATCCAGATGGACTATGGTATCTCTGGACACAGAGTACCACTGCACGGACGAGTCAGGATAGGGGACGATCAGGATAAAGGAAGATCCGCATATATAGAGTTCAGAAAACGATTCCTTCAAAAAAGGTGAGAAGTGTTTATAGTGTTTTTGTGATTTGTCTGTGAATAAATTTGTGGATTTTCAAGGTACGTATTATTTATTATCTACAGTCTAAATATATCTATTGTGTTTTTCAGACAAAGTTCGTTCGCACTAGATTTTATTTAAATTAAAGTGAAAGCAGTAATAACTTTTGGCTTAGAATTATTTCATTGTTATAAACACATGACTGTCACAAACAAAGATGATAGACGGTGGTCGAAAGTAATTTAGAACATGCACAATCTAATCATATTTAATCATTGGTCCAAGCAACTAACGAATCTGAATTAATTTATTAAGGTTGAAGTCCTTTATCCTAAGATTTACGATTTAATTATACTCAATAATGGATGTATGTTAGTGGACCATATTTAAATAGTTATTTACTTGTCCTTTTAATATATTATTTGTATTTTTCGTTTAGAGCAATGTTATCGGGCGACGTTATCACTATGTTTACTCCTATGACAACGTCTTGTTTGATAAGGCATGTTCTCTCTCGGTCATTATAAACAAGAAGTTGTATAAAAATAATTATTATTTGGACCAAGTAGATAATTTTTGCAAACACCAAAGAAAAATTCAAACCCATATAGTAACTAATGCTACAAATATTGAAACAAACTATGGACCGTTCCATGTTTACCTTCCTGGTGGTTTGAAATAAAGTTGATAAATTATATTATATAATAACTGTGTAATTAAAAAAAATAATAGTAGTCTCCGTGTTCTTCCAGACTACGTTGTATATTTATGCCAAATTTCATCGAGATCCGTTGAGACGTTCTTGATATACCTTCTAACAAACATCTATCCATCCATGCATCTAAACATTCGACATAAAATAGAAGTAAGGTTATATATTATCTATTCCTTCTTCATTTCTTTGCCGTTGTGAACTTCGTAACTTAAATATTTACAATTTTGTCTTCAAATCTTGTACAAATTGCGCGCGCATACCGATTAACATAGAATTAACACTTATACTGAATACTGACTAACATTTATCCTATGAGCAACTTTCTTAATCAACACAAAAAATCAGTAACTATTCATTCCGTAAAATAAGTTCGTAACAAAATAAGCATTATAGTAGAACGCCGATTAACTGAATCGTCAATTATCCAAATCGGTCCTAAGCATAACATACAAAATTAAAACCAAGTAATTTTTATACTTTGTACTTTTGTGAAGGCCTGATGGGTTAAACTTAATAAAGTTTATTCTGTGTGTGACAGTTTATTTTCTTTATGATCAGGCAATGTCCGATTATCCGAATCGACCCCGGTCCCAATTAATTTGGATAATCGGCATTCTACTGTATTAATAGGTAGTGTCATTGCCTGAAACTTGCATTACGATATTATAGAAATGTTCAGAAAATGATACAATAGTGATATAACAATAAGGATAAAATCGTGGTCATATGTGATGTGTCATCAGTTCGTGACAATGGCGCCCTTGTTCAAATTTATAACGACAATAGTAATATCTTGTGTTAATCATTAAATGTTTGAAATATTACGTAAACTACGTTATAAATATAACAGTTATATAGTATTTTTATTATACTAGAGTGAAATTATATCGTCATGTTTCTTAAACACCGCTTAAATACAATATAAATTCAATTTTAAAGGTCACATACACTATCTGTTTGCTGTAATGTTTGCTATTAACGATCTATAATATCCACAGCTGAAAAACCTTTACAAAATACTATTCCCATCTCTTTCATTTCAAAGAGGAATGAGGGATGTAAATATCTTTTGCACAGGTGATTCGGAAAAGGAAACTTATGGAATAGCTTTTGTCAAAAACACTTTATAAGTAACTAATAATATTCGTGCCAAATTTCATTGCGACCCTTTGAATCGTTCCGGAGATACCTTTAAACAAACATCCATCCATCTGAACTTTCGCATTTATAATATTAGTAAGAGAAAGATCAGTATGATGTAAAGCTTGTTGACATTAATTTCTTAAATAATGGCGTAAGTTTTTTTTTTTGAGAAATATTAGCAGATATTTTCGTAAATTTACTAATATTTCTTGTACCATTCCAACTAAGCTCTAGCCTTGTGCTAGGATATGGTTTACGACAATAGTCGAATGGCGGGATTTGAACCCCAGACCTCGTGATCAGAAATCCTTAACCATTAGGCTATTGACGCTTACGCTTGAAGTGGTAGTTAAGTTCGTGTAAATCGTTAAATGAAGCCTTTATCGCGATATTTAAACATATATATTCAGAACGATAATATTGGCTAATGTTAGTCTTCCCATACTTATCGGCGAACTCCCCAATCCATTATTACTATCACAAATTATCGCTACATATCTCTTACATCATATTTTATTATCTGACCAAACAATATCTGATTAAACGTGTTAAGCATTTCCAAAAATACTTATATTTTTATATATAGCTGCATCGCAAAATTAAAATTGAATAACAATTTCCGAAAAAAACAGTATAAACCCAGTTGGGATTTGAACTTCGACCATCGAATCATTTTATGTCAATTAATCAAGAGCTAAATCAATCAACAAGACTTGAATATGAAATTTTGTCCAGTTACATTTTTTAAACCGTTATAGTAAGTTTCCGAATAAAAAATTGACGAATTACAAAACAATTGATAAATCTCCAACCAGGAAAAAAATCTTTATCTCTCATTACGTGTTTCCACTAATGTCGTAAGTCACGTCATTCATTTCTAAACAAATATTTGCCGCTCCTGGTATGATAACATACTAATGGCACTTTTCCGGTATTTGCCTATTTAGGCAATGAATACTTCAAACGGTCAAGGTAAAACATTCCACCGTGAAATTCCATTGAAGAAAACATATCGTTATCTTGGTTTTGTCAAAGAACGAAAGGGGTAACAATTTGTTTATTAACAAGTTTTTCGATGGTGGAAACACACATTATGATTCAACTTTAAATCTTAAACACAAAAACAAAAATAAAGTTTGTGTTCTTTCTCTTGTAAATTTTATCGTAAATTTCTTTAAATTCAAAGTAATAAATTTTATATTATTTTAGTCGGTTTTAAATTACATTTATCACAAATTAGTACTTAATATATTGTTTGTTCTAATGTGAAGTTGGAAATTAACTCCAGTGCGACGTAAGCAGGCTCTTTGATTTAAATTTCAAACATATGAATTGAAACTTCGAAACATCTCGAAAGAATACATTGCTTCTATAGTTTGCTGTATAAGTGAAATTTTATCACAAAGAATAAATACAAATATTTGTTGATGCTGACATTGAAATGCCTTTTGTTTTTATAAATATTTTATTGTGACATTATTTTTTATGAATTAATCAAACGGTAAAATAGTTTTAGCTCATTGACATATACAATTTACTGCACTTTAAGGATCGATTTTTAGACAATTTGTAAATTTTGTTATATCATTTTTGTGTTTTTGATATGTTTATTCAAATTTATTTCACCGTCGAAAATTTTAAGGTGATTTTTACATTAAGTTTATTAAGCAGATATAACTAAATACTGTTAATTTTATTAAATTGATTTGATACTGCTGTGAGAGCTTTCGTTGTGGTGCCTAGCGAAAAGATACACATACCAGGATATCATGTCTCCTACGATGGTCTAAATCTTTTATATAAAATTTTCGTTCCCATACTCCTCCGAAGTGGCTTGACCGATTCTCCTGAAATTTTGTGAGCATATTGAGTTGGTCTGAGAATCGGCCAACATCTATTTTTAATCCCGCGCGGACCGAGTCGCGGGCGACAGCTAGTAATATATATCATCAGAAAACAAAGACGTTTAAAACTTTATTTTACTGATATTAAAAATGCGAATGTTTTTTATGGATGATTGTTGGATTGTATTCCCAAAACTTCGCAAGGGATGTCGATAAATTTTTAACGTAGATATAGAATTTATTTGGAAGGACTAAGCTTAAGTTTAAGTAATCGTGTATTTTTTTAATTTCGCGTAGACCAAGTTGCGTGCGAAAGCTAGTTTGTAATAACTTTCATCTGATGCAATTATAATAGAAACAAAAAACAATCAAAAGTGAAAACCATAAAAGATTACAATCTCGGAAATATTTTAATTTAATTCTTGAGTCGGGTTTTTTTTTCATAGAAAAAGACTCCGATTTATTCCCGCAAATATAATTCGATTTTAATAAACTAAAAGCATTTTACGTCAGCGCCTCAACTGAAATTCTTTTTCATTTACAAAATATTTGCTTATATATTATGGGTACAGCTTTTGTGGTAGAACAATACAATAATTAATTTGTCATCGCGTCGGCTGCGCAAATATATTAAACGTAATATGAGTTTGCCACTTGATGATTTTGGAGCTAACAATACGTGTATTCTAAGCGTCCCCTCTTTACAATGGCGCAGGCAAACAAAAATCTTAAGAATTATGTCCGCGTCAAGGACCGACGCTATTGTTTTTCTACAAATGAAATTCTCGTCGTTCGCGTTACTGAATTTGCAGTCACCGCGAGTAGGGAAAAATATTTTGTGACGGCTTCTTCCATACATTGATATGCAATGCATGCGCATTTGATTTCAGCGTAGGACGCAAATCCGGTCCGTTTTCAATGGAAAGTGTATCATCTGGATACATGCAATACATGAATGATGAGTTCTCCGTTACGTTTGATATTCTTTTAGGCCTAGTTGTGATTTGTTCTCCTTGATGTCAAAGTAAAACTTACTTGAATGATAGTGTTTGTATTTAATATTTAGTCATTTAGCTGCAACTTTCAATAAAAATATAGTATTCACAAGCTACAACTAGAATCATCAAAACAATAATAACGGGTGTCTTATTCATAAACATACTAGCTGCCGCCTGTGACTCCGTCCGTGCTGAACTATAAAAAAATCTTATTGAGTAGCCTATATTCTTCTAGACAATGTTCTGCATCTATGCCAAATTTCATCGAGATCAGTTTAGCCGTTCCGGAGATACCTTCAAACACACATCCATCTATCCATCCAAACATTCGCATTTATAATATTAGTAAGATTTAAATATTATTTCTTCTTATGCATGTCTTACTCAAATTGCAGTAGTAGTTTCTTTTGAAACTAGTACTATATTTGAACAATCATTTTATTGTAATACAATTATGAAGGTAATTAACGTAATATGTATTATAACACACGAATATTTTTCATCTCATGCAACTGTAATATGAAAAACTATTGTTTGCTATAATAAAAACAAAGAGTGCGTTCTGTTTTCCATGAATTACACCTTTATCTATATAATAAAAAATAATTTATGTTCAGTCAATATTTGCAAGTTGTTCAGCGGTTGTATGGATGTTCCTCATTGTTCAATACTTCTGGAAGTTTCACTTATTCTAAGGAGGTATTGTTAGCAGCTTATTTGTGAAGAATCAATTTCCACTTGCGAAACAATCTTGTCTATTTTGTACCTTATTATTATTCGAACAATTTATGGCAAGCAACCTATAGGAATTACTGATTGAATATTCAGTTAAGCTTATTAAGAGTCTTCAGTTTCATTGTAGCGGGCGGTACTTGAAATTTTGTTAAGAAACTTATGTTAAGAAATTTAAAGCATTAATATTTTCAAGTGATCATATTTTCATAATGTTTTAAATATGATTATGTGCACTTGAAATTTTCATTTTAATTAATTTAAAAAGGGTGGAACAAACCGATCAGAGTGCTACGAACGAGGAACTATCATTCGAAGCCAGTCTTCTCTCGTTTGTCTCTCTTCACATTCAGATATGAAAAAATAAGCTATTATTTATTTAACTTACTTTGTTTTAGTAATGGAAGCAATGGGTCTCGAGAGTTTGAACAGTCAGCGCCGAGTGAGACTAGCGGCGGCGGTGAGGCTGAACCTCGAACTCCAGCGCCTCCAGTCGACCACTACGAAGACCTGGTGAAGATTATCAATTCCCAACTCACGGGTAACAATGAAGACCATCCTGTGGTAGTGCCCCCACATCATGACCTAAATGTTCTTAGACCAGAAAACCCAACTATAGGCGAAATGGAGGATCTTGAACCAAGGTATTTTTACATATTGAATTTTACCTATTATTTTTATCGAGTAACTTCAAGACGAAGAAATGAATAGTTATAAAGATAATTCAAGAATTCTAACGTTGTTTAAATTTTAACAGAAAATGATTATGCTCAATTATATTATACCATGAAAATTATAAGCGTCAAATTATTCTAATAGTTAACTCGCTTACTCGGAAACTAGTTAAGTTAAAACATTAATTAAAATTTTCGAACGGGAAACGGCGACAAAAAGACATCACGAGGATAATTTTCTGAAAGTTTTTGACGTCTGACATCTAAAAGTACAGTTTATGTTGGCGAGTCGACAAATTAAATTGTACGAAGTAACAATATTGCTGTAATTAAACTTTGAAAATATGAATATTAAAGTCAGAAATCTAAAACATTATGTTAATCCTTTTGTTGAAAACGATTGAATTTAAATGGATCACTAAATTGGTACAATCATAGATATTTTAAACGGGTTTTCTACATTATCATGGATCTGTAATAAAGGAGTTAGGAAAATTTTTGCCAAAAAAAAAAAGATTTATTTCTAAGAAATTGTCAACTTTTATCTTAAAGAAAATTAAATAAGAATATTGTGCTCGCAGAAACTACGGTCACATCTCGCGGGAATGAAACTATGTTTCAATCGAATTCTTTTGTTTGCTAAACGTAATAACAGGCGGTTATTATGTTAGCAAAAAGCGTTCTAAAAGCCCAGAGCTCTTTCGTCCGCGGCAGCCCGACCGTGCTTTGAACTATGCATCAAAACCAAACATTCTTAGCTCGAAGGCTTCTCGTAATTTCCCCATAGTAAATATTAGACGTCTCACAGGAACGTCTAATGAAAAAAAATACATTGTAGTACAAAATATATATATTTATATCGTTCGTAACACAATGGACCGTAAAGAAAATCATATTATACTTCTTTAACAAGCTGGTTGTATATGTAACAGATACGGCGACCTTTTTTTATCCTGTGAAACAAATTTTACAAGCTGAAGCAGAAAATCTTATTTAAAATCCTGTTAGGCCGCGTCGAGATAGGGGCGGGCCTTTTGACAATAAAACTAAATGGAATGAATGCATGACGGCTTCCTCAAACACCGCTTATGATATGACGGCCCGCCTTATAGCTGAAATTCGTATATCGTATGGAAAGGTTCACAAACGAATATAATTTTTCGTTTAAATAACGTTACACCAAAAAGGATTTTCTTTGTGCTATTTTTACTTTAAAAAACATGTAACACGTCTTTTTTTGTACTTGGCATTAAATTTCTTAATATCTCAAATAACAATGTATAATTTGCATATCTCTTGAAAACCGTCGTCGCATAGATTATATTTTATATTTAATATTAATATATAAAGTTCACATTTAAAAAAAAAAGTAAATTATGAAATTAAAGGTAAGCCTCGAGGAAGTACGCGTTTATGTCTTATACTAAGGCGAAAATGCGAAATTTTGAATGTGTTTTAAAAGAGATTTTTTTTTTCTATAGTCATATTATTATATCATTATAAATATTACTTAATCAGTTTAATTTTTGCAATAAATACTTTTCGTTATTACCTTATGTTGAATTAAAACATATAAATAAAAATCTCAAAAAAAATCGCCTACAAGAATCAATCTGGATGTCAACAGGAGTGTTTTTAGTTGGTAAACAAATTTCAAGTGTTTATCAAAAAGTTATTATATATAGTGCCATGATTTGGGTACCAATAAAATTTCTCAGACTTTTTAATATTGAATATAAAAGTAAATTTGAATGTTACCATGCTAGACGAACAGAAAAAAGTATTTATTTCAATATTCTAAATAAAGGTTCATTATATTCAAAATCGTTGTCGGAATAGACTCTAGGCTACATTTGGTGTGTTTTGTTAATCACATTTTGGTACGTTTAATATCCAAATGTGGTGCGATCCGGCTTTCCGAATTCCCATTTGACTGGGCCACATATCACACCGAAAGAGAGTCGATAAATTTTCTAGTAGGTGCCGGCATCATTTCTAAATGCAGGTTATCGGAGCATCGAACAAATCGAGGACGCTACAATCGCTCTTTAGTATTCAACGGCGACCTTCGCGACTAGATGATTCTCCTCACGTCCACTCATGTGTTCCACGCAGCCAAAACCAACAAGACGCCAAGAAAATCTTCCATGTAAATCTCGACATTAACGATCAGGTTTAGTGTGTGTGCGGAAATTTTAAAGCGAATTTTGGATAGTATACGTTGAATTATGCATTTGACGGCTTGTGCTTCATGATCATTTTCCTTATTTTCTATCCTTGTAAAATATCTCTTGTATCGCCGTCATTTTGTAAACAAAACACAACTGTTTCTGATATATATATATTATATAAAGCTTAACCCTTATTGTGGCAAGATTACTTTTTAGAAGAAAAGCAAAAAACAAAGTTAAAAATTATTTTATAGTGATCGTATATTTTTATAAAGTTGTATGTATGGTATATTATACAAAATGAACATAATGGTTAAATTTTAAAGGTTTTACAATTATTTAATGTTGATAAAAACCCAGTACAATTTGTTTCCTTTTGAAGCGAAGTATCGAATATTCGGTACTTCTTATAACAGAGAAAGTTATTGACCTCATGATACAATTGTAACCGCCGTAGCAGTAAGAAGTAATAGGTTCCACAAATCTAAGGCGTATTTTGTAGCGTAACGATCATAGTCCAAAAATATCTCAATAAACCGTTAAAATAACACTTGTATAATTTAAGTGAATGAAATGAATGGGAAGAATGACTTAGCTTAAGGCACATTTAGCTAACAGTAATAGAATATTTGTATTCCAGTGTGAACGCGTCCAACTTGGAGAAGTTCCAGCTGCGGATAGCGCAGCACGAGCTGTACGAGGACGGGGAGCCGCTCGTCGACGCCGTGCTCAAGGACATGGCCACGCTGCCCATACTGCACGCAGGTTCAAACACTTTAATTATTCAACTTATAAAATATTGAAATAATTATTAACAATTAATATGAACGAATGATCCGAATTACACTTCACACTTTAAAATGGGTAAAGCCGTTTAGGAAACATGAGGTCATAATAGAATGGACATGCTATCTTCCTGTAATTTTACCAATTTTACTTGTCACCAAAAATGTTAAAAAACCGTTAAGACGACTGTTCAATTAACGATAGATTAGAATCAATTATTAGCCACCGTGGTATTCAGGGGGTCCGGGACCAATTTGGGAATGATTTAACATATCGTGTTGTAAAGCTTAAGCAGTCTGCGATATGTATATTAAATGAAGTCGGTCCGTGTCGGTCGTGCAATCAGTTGCGGGTTAGCGGTCCGTCGGACAATAGTGCCACAACAATCTCGCCCTTTACTTCCAAATTGGATTTAAATATTTAAATCACCTAAACGGATTTCATTGTAGGTCCGAATTTAGTTTTCCTTTAATATTCATGTGTAAAAAAACATTAATCGGCTTATTAGATAATTTATTATTCAACTTTGATTGGTGTGATAATCCGTCAACTAATAACGATTTAAATTTCCTTCAACTTCTTTTAACTTATTGGTAAGGTTTTGCTGGATAAAATATTATTATTTTTCTTACAGAACAAAAAGAAGGTGGAACACAACTGAAGTTGATTATAGACTATCCAAACGGCATACAAGCACTGTTTAAACCAATGAGGTAAGATTATAAATCGATATAATAATTATCTTTTTAATTAAATAAGAGGATTTTCATATTTATTTAATACAATAATTAATGCTGTCGCATTATAAAGATAAGACTAAAGATTATAACGGTTGTTGTATAATATTTTTTGTAAAATGCGTATTTTGTAAAACTATCAAAAAATACCTCTCATTATGCATAATATTTAAAAACAAGTTGAATTTTATTCTATCAAGTTTTATGCAAATATAAAAAAAGTAATAAAGTACAAAGTAAAAAAGTATAAATACGCCTTAGAATATATTACTAGGTACGACTAACCATGAATTTCTGAGACTAAAATCTCCGTAAAAATATCAGAAACATATCAAAGGTCAACAGGTATGGCATTATATTTTAAACGGGGATTTTGAACTCAGAAACCTACGGTAAGTGAAATATTGTTTGTAGACTTTGTCTCTTAAGATTCCAGTCAAGAAGTTATCACAGTTTGCGTGTCACAAGTATGTTTCTGCTTTACTATACGTAGTTCAGTTAAGTTGGGAGAGGTGTTTCGAGTGCTAACGTGGACGGCTTGTGGAAACTTTCCTCTCCACTAAGTCGAGTGTTGTGCGTTACCATTCAATAAACTTCTAGAACGTTCTATAGGCTTAAAGGCACTTGGAAGACTGTAATCGAAGTGAGTGCTAAGTTCTTTTGTACAACCTTTTGTTCAACTTTTCGTTCGACAAATAAACACAATATAGAATTTTATTGCAATTGTAGTTTTAATAAAAATATATATCAAGTACTATTTTTAAGGATTATTTTAAATTTGAAATAAACATACGCTATTGTTGCCTGAGTATATACCAATTTGTAGGCAATTTAAACTACAACCTTTTGTTTAATGTAAAGAAAATATTGTTTTACATGAGGTATCCATAAAAGTGATTGTACGAAGGGTATGGACATCACACCCCTATATCCGTAGCTTCCTCCAGGGGCCGATAAATAAAGCGCCACTCGATACCAACCCTTGCCCCAACGGTCTCCGTGATCGCTTTATCTTTCGCAACTTTATGTTAACTTAGCAATAACTTGCTGTACTTGAGATAACTTGAGACCTCTGTTCTATTCTTGTAAGGTACAGACGCAGTAATTAAAATAGCATAGGTTATTAATTATAAAGAGTACTTTTAACTTCTTCTTGTGAATTTCTATTTTTAGTTCTTATCAACATAATAACAATGCCCAATAAATTCATAATGCCCATATTATTTTCATAGGAATTGTCGATGGCAGTATTTAAAAGAATATAATAACTCTATATCCAGGGTTACAGGACAATTTAATATCGTTTTGGTTTTTCTTTTAGTTGAAAAGTAAACCGTCTTATTGAAAATCTGTAAATTTAAATTTAATAATCTCACCTCCTATATGGATTAGAAGAGTCAAATTAATTGATCATAAAAATATTTAAGTGTTATGGTAAGGGGATACGAATATTGAAAAGTCAACAATGAAATTTAACTCCCTGTAGGTATCAATGACGAAAATTGAAACCGAGCGAAATAAATCCATAAAGAGGAATATCAAATATCCTCTCGGAGAGCGGGAGACCTCTGTCCTTTAAAATAAAATTTATTATATGGGATGACGTCACGGGTTCCTTCACTTAAGTGTCGGTGTTGTATTTCAGAAGGCTGTATTGCTATCTTTTCAAATATATGCTATTATATGATGTATACTACTAAAGATACTGTATATACATTTTGTATATTAGTATAAGAATTAGTAAAAACATGTGAAGCTAAACACTTTACTAAGAAAATGCATTACAATCTTATAAGATTTCTATTTTGATTAATCCTAAATATTTAAATAACATATTTTAGTGAATTATTCGTTTCTTTTTTTTTTATTTTATTTTATATCACAGATTTAAGACTATATGTAATCCTAAATTAACATTACTATACTTAGTGTATAACCTATATTTGAACTCAAGCTTAATTTTTAATTAATTATAGTTTTACAATTTTTAAATTTTTTAAGCTTGATTGTCTAATTTAATTTAGGATCAAGCAAAACAGAGATGATAAAACATGGTTGTAGCTATTCATATTTTTACTAATTACATAATGATGCCCATTACATCATTAAGTACGCTTCCTTAAGATCGTCGATAATGGTTAGTTCATCGTTAGATCTGAAGATGTAGGCTTCCCAGTGCAGTTGCGCGGTACCGTGCTCTATCTAACATCATGTAGCCTGGCTTACTCAAGCGATTTACGTTTTTTAATTTACGTAATATAAAATGAGTTGACAACCCTATCGAGAAAGTTTAATGACCCTAAATCATCTTTTGTTTTTCTATAATATTAAATAATGCATAGAGTTGTTTGTCGTTAGACAGTATTTTTCTTGTATTAATTCTACACTATGAGTCCCACTTAAATGACACAATTAACTATTTATACAATAAAATGATATTGTACTAGCAATCGCCCGCGACTTTATCCGCGGTGAATTAATAAAAAAAATTAACAAGTAGCCTATGTGTTCTTCCAGACTAAGTTCTACAACTGTGTCAAATTTCATCAAGATTCGTGAGCCGTTCCGGAGACATCTTCAAAACAAATATCCATCCATCTAAACTTTGGCATTTATTATATTAGTAAGATGGGTGATTTATTACATATATTTTATGTATTATTATATTATTATAATATAATCTTGTTTGTTCGCAGGTTCGCTCGAGACGTCCAAACTCTACCGAATCATTTCTATTTTTCTGATTACGAGCGACATAACGCGGAGATTGCGGCCTTCCATTTGGACAGGTTAGTGGATGTGAAATTTATAAAGGTTTATGCTAAAAATACAAACAAAGTATGCTATAGTATGCTATTTTCACGATTAAAACTAGGAAAAGAATAATTTTAAAAACTTCTTCCATATTTCTAATTATCTAGATAAACGTATTCGCTCTTTTATACGAGTATTAAATCTCTATTAAATAAAATTTAAAAACACGTTGATATAATTAATGACTACTTTTTTAATATTATCTGGTAATTAACTTATTCCAAGTTATAAAATGTCTCATTACACTAATTAATTAGTGTAGGCTGAAAAAGACAAACAAAGGGTGTCTAGTTTTTGATTATAAACGAAAATTTTATAAAATCCTTAAAATATTACATTTAGAGAAAAGACGAGTAAATTCTAGAAATTGCGACCTCATTCCAAAAGCTTATAGGGATTCGAACTCTCGACCTTAAAGGTCGTAAGTTAAGTTCAGACACCAAACTCTACATCTAAATAATTATTTTTATATTACCTGTCGCCCGCGGCTTTGTTCGCGAAGAATTAAAAAGATATAATTAGTAAATTATGTGTTCTTCCAGACTATGTATATTCTATATGTATGCCAAATTTCATCGATATTCATTCAGTCACTTGGAGATACCTTTATACAGACATTCATCTAAAGATTGGCATTTAAAATATTAGTAAGATAAGATACTTGAAAAAAATTAAAACATTTTGTTAAATTTACAACCACACAATAATTAGTGTAAAATATTTTTACATCTACCATCTATAGTCAATATTAAGTAACACCAATTCCTATTTGATAAAGTATGGAGTACACTCCAAGGTGCATTGCTCGAAGATAAAATTACGTACTTATATTTCGTTACTCGGAAAGTCGCGAGTCGATAAAAAATATTAAGTATTTATAATATAAACACCTTTGGACTTCCTAATTGGCCATTTGGCTAATGACTTAAATTCGACTTCTTAATAATCATTAAAAATTTATTTAGAAAAATGGCGCGTTGATATATAAAAGTTCACAACCCCTGGTATAGTTGATGGGTCATAGAAATAAGTTCCCATAATATGTAGTTCAAACACTAAATCTGTAAACAAATTATCTTATTTTGCAAAAAAACATCTGATAACCACAACATATATTTTTTTGGGGTTAGGATATTAGGGTTCCGTCGCGCAATGCCAGTCATAGGTCGAGTTCTAAACATGACGACGGAGATCTATGACGTCACCGAGGGCGACATCTTGCGGACATTCTTCGTGTCACCAGCAAACAACTTCTGCTTCCATGGCAAGTGCTCGTATTACTGCGATACGGGGCACGCGATTTGCGGCAACCCTGACATGTTAGAGGGGAGTTTCGCTGCCTTCTTACCGTCTCCAGACTTAGCTGAACGAAAGGTTAGTACACATTACGGTAAACCAATGTTACATAAAACCTACGCTAAGGTAATGTTGCCATCCCTATCATTCTCCATGAAAGAAATTATTCGTTTTCTTTAACTATAGGTATGGAGACATCCATGGAGAAGATCATACCACAAGAGACGAAAAGCTCAATGGGAACTACAGTCTGATTACTGTGATACAGTAAGTTAAATATTTTGTTTTCTTAAAACGACCAGTACTAATTCGTAGAATTAAAAATATATCCTAAGGCGCTGATAAGAAAGTTCTTAAGTATATGTCAAGTAGGTGTCTCATACTCTATGTACATCAGCCAAAAACACGCTCGTAAATAATGGTCAGATTACAATCACGAACGGTTTGTCATAACAATAAGTTTTTTTTGACAAAAATTTATGGAAGTTCCAACATCTTTTTCTCCTCAGTATAAATGGTTACGTTAAAAATGTTTAGACAGAAATTGTATGATTGTTTCTCCAGGTCCGCAGTACGCCGCCCTACGACTCGGGTCGACGTTTACTTGATCTGATGGACATGTCAATCTTTGATTTCTTGACCGGCAACATGGACAGACATCACTACGAAACGTTCAAGTAAGTACGAATTTTTAGTAGATAGATAGAAGCCTTAAAACAAATAAAAATTAACAATGTTTTTTGTTTCAATATTCGTACCACGCAGTTTTTTTTTAATTTAGGTTCTCTATAATTTTGTGCAGATTAATTCCAGCTTTGTATAACAAACTGTACAAGTCAAAGGTTGCTGAGATATCACTTAATTCTTAATTCAAATTTTAAATGTGGTCTATTTAGTATAGTATAAAAGTAATCGAAACATTATTTTGTGTCAGTTATAATACATGAATCTTAATTACAACAGCGAAATTAATAGGACTTCTAATCTTATTGAGTGTTTACTAATTAAAGAGTCGCTAGACCCAATGGTAAGCTTTGCCCATTGGGCCGATCGCTCTGCAGGCCAATCTGTCCAACAGTAAACACCCGACTTATTGAGTGTTCAAAGTTTAAGAGTAACAAAGTAATGAATTTCATCATAATTTTTTTATGAATTTGATTCTAGGGCTGATCTAGATAACAAGTAGTGCTGGCTTCCTTTTGTCAAAGTTTTATGTTAAGTTTGTGTTTTGTATATGTTTTACTAGTGTAAATTACTGCTTTGTATCTGACATCTGAAGAGCGTTATTAATTTTCAATTTGTTTCTATTGTTATCAGGATGTTCGGTAATGACACATTCACGTTGCACCTGGACCAGGGAAGAGCTTTCGGGAAGGCGTTTCATGACGAGCTCAGCATCCTGGCGCCGCTGCTGCAATGCTGCATCGTACGGCACACCACGCTCGCCGCGCTACTCAAGTGAGTCATAATCCAATGACCTACGTCTAAGAAGTTTAATTTTATCATGAATTATTGCTGGTGAAACACTCATTATCATCTCCCTGTCCTTATCTCACTCTACAGGTCCAAATCAATTTATCATTAGTCTTTTCAGTCGTCACTTCCTTCTTAACAGTGTTACGCAGTTGATCCGACTTCTAGGCTTATCCCTACTGATGCAGCTATCTGTCTAAATTCTTATCTACCATAAAGTGTAACATTTTCTGCTCCCTTGTCACTTTCTTACTCGATCCCATCGCTATTAACTACTTCCTTAGTGTGATTGCGCTTTATTGAGCTGCTTGACATCTCATATCTCTTAAACAATAAAAAATAAGGAATGTAGTTATTCTGTAATAATTATTATATAATACATCTTGCTTTTTTAGGTTTCACAATGGGGATCCACTTTCGAAAGTTCTCCGTGAGTCGATGAACGCAGACCCCGTCTCTCCAATTCTATGGGAGCCGCACCTCGCGGCTGTTGACAGGAGAATCGGGCTAATATTAGATGCAATTAGAAAATGTATCGAAAAAGCCGAGAATCCTTTACAGGATGAAGTGAACGATTTTGTATGACCAGTGCCACTAGTGTTTCAGACTATGTGCGATGAAACTATTAGAAAATCTCACTGAAAGTGATTATAAAAATGTGATAAGTGGTACTACTGTGGTATTTAAAGGTCAGTGATAATTATTGTGAAGGACTAACTAGTCGGACTCTCCTGTATTGTGACTTAAGACAATCCTAGTATGTAAGTGAATTTGTAATCAATGCAAATATTAACTTATAGTCTTTGGTCCTAAAAGACTACCTTGTTAGCGTTAAAATTTTAGTGCCAAAGATTGTCCAAATGATTACGTGAGATGTTCAGCATAATTTTATTACCATTCCATTTGAAGCGTTTTTTTAAATAAGCCATTTTAATCATGCCAAATATAGAGAAAGAAATTTATATTTACGATACTTTTTTGTACAAATTGACAATTTCTAAATTGAATTAGGTTTAATCAGTATTGGAGGACTGAGAATTAGGATATGGCCTATTTTTATTATACATAAATAAGTCTGATGAGGCGTACGTACGAGTATAGGAAGTGCAAACACATCTGTACATAATTTTAGTGAAATGCAATTACTTTAAGATCTTATTTTAAGTTATAAATCATTTTAAATTCTCACATAATTATAGGCACATTTTATCAGCTGTTAGTACAATGTAATAAACAACTGTAACAAATTTATGGTTGTGAACCAATTTTGAAATCAGATTACTAAAATTATTCAAAATTGTTCATATTTTTTTTAATTAATTGATTCTAAAAGCGTTTATCATTTTTTTACATGTTGCCATTTTACTGATAAAATGCGTCTATAACTTTGTATTTGTTATGTTTATTTTTTGTTGTGAAGTCCATTACCATTGTAGCTCAAAGCTCAAGAATACACATATCATGTCAAGCAGTTTATATTTGTATATCTCTTGAGGCAATTTTGCCTTCCTACCTTTATTTTTAGGATTTTGTCACTCGTTGGTTTTGAACGTGCTAATATTTTGCTTGTTGTTTTGATTTTTGTTTTTTTTTTCAACTAAACTTTATTGCACCTTCTGTATCTATAGGGTGATCTCAAAATTGAATTTAGTGGTCTCTTTAAAAAAACTTGAGACACTAATCAGTGTATTCGTGTAGTTATTTACTATTTGTTTTTTGCGATAACTGACGTAGGTTTGTAGTTTAAGTTAAGCCTGTTACTCATCCTCATTATTAACTGAACAGTTACAACTTACGCGTGTAGACCAAATTTAAACTGTCAGTTAAACTGTATAGTTCTCAGTTTTGTCTACACACGTAAGTTACAACTGTACAGTTTGATTGTTCAGTTAAAACTGTGCAGTTAATACTGAAGGTGAGATACGGGTTTTATAAGAAATTAAGTATTTATTCTTTAATTATTCGTAGGTGTGATTGGCTTTCCTATTACTGATAGCGAATTTATATTGAGCATGTCGAGTTATACGAGGCTTTATTATAGGCATGGGTTTTGACTTCAGAAAAACATGTACAAAATATGTTTATACCAATGTTTCGAGAGTTGTAGCCCATTGTCAAATTGTAAAAGAACGGCTTGCCAAAGATGTACCTTCATAAATAACAGTGTACGTTTAAAAATGTTGTATAGCATTATATGGACCGAGTTGATTGTTAATAAATTTTCAATAACCAAATATGAAAGTTTTTCATGTGTTTTATTACCGATTAATTGTCAGTTACCACGTACGCAAAAATGCAACATAATTTATTTTATCTTAGTAATATTATAAATGCGAATATTTGTATGGATTGATCGATCGATGCTTGATAGAAGGCATCTTTAGAACGGCTACATGGATCACGCTAAAATTTGGCATAGACGAGGGCATAGGCTATTAATAAAGCTTTTTTTTAATTCCGCGCGGTTGTAGTCGCGAGTACGATATTAGATTTTATATATAATATTAAACTTACTGTTGTCCTTCCGTATGTATGTAAATAAATATTTAAATCTTTATAAAATATATACAATTGAAAACTAAATAAAACGCTGATAATTCCGCAATTACAAAAAAATATATAGCAATATCTAAAATATCAAAAGATTTCCTACAGCTATAAAATTTCATCCCTAATAAAACGCAAATCTGAATAAAAGTTGTATATGACCCAAGTTTCTTTATACTTTATGTGGCCACCGCCCTTCTATATTTGTATGAACGTAAAAATGGGCACTTGATGTGAATATTTTCTTATATTTCCTGACATAAACAGATAAAATTCAAAACTGTATTGAAATCACTGGTACTATATTTTTAACTTTAAATTAGTTATTATATATATTCAGCATTTAGCGTATTCTTATCCAAAATTATTTTTTTTTAAATTCGAAACTAATATTACATAGAAGAAATATTTGATTGTGAGTTATTTACGATAAATAGGCTCCGAAACTACTGGACAGATATTTTTTTTTATATCATAAGGTGGCAAACGAGCGAGCGGCCACCTGAAATCGCTGAAATAGCGAAGTGACCGTTGCCCATAGACATACGCAATTGCATATGCGTTGCCTACCTTTAATCGACGGAGGAGAGATGCACAGAAAGAAAACATTTTCCCTTTCCATGCATTCTCTCATCCCGAAAGTCCACTTCCACTTCCCATCATTTCCTTATAAGAAAAGGGTGGGAAGGAAAAGAGGACTAAATTAGGCCTCCGGGACGCACACTCATAAGACGAAACGCGGAATTGCTTCCACTTCACGCCTGTCTTCAATTCAAGATCTCAAGTATTTTACTGTTAGAAAGCTATACTATCCCCGGTTGCTGTATGCTGTATAAATTTGTGTGAAGTTTCCAATTTTATTTTTATAAAGCCGGGAATTAATTTCCTTAACTCTATTTTTAAAGTAGATAACTTTAATAATACTACGAACTAAAGATAAATGTGTCTATTACTAAATAGCAACGATGTCTCTTCAAGATGCGTAGATTTACGCGCACTAGGCATTTAGTTAATTTCCATGGAAATTGTAGGCGGTGATTGATGAAAATGTCGTTAGTTAGTGTCACAACAGCATCCACACTTGGCCAGTGTACTACGATTTTAGGCTTAAGTTAAAACATAGTTTTCACGAACGACTAACCGTAGGCTTCTGAATCTAAAACCTTTAATTGAAACATACTATTCAGTGTTTTATACAGAGATTTTGTTGTCAGAAACCCACGGTAAAGCTACAATTGTTTGGTAAGCAAGATTTTAGACTTCTAATATAAATTAAAATATATCATTTTTACAAAACATTTTCTCGCTTATGGGGTCGTCCGTCACGACTAGACTATTGTTCTCGTTTATCCTGGCTCGACTGTAGTTTAAATCAAAATAAGTAGAGTAGTCTTCTAATAATTTGCTTAATACTACAGAATGATATTATTCATTGCGGATATAATAATAATGACAATATTAAGAGCAATAAAGGTAAAGTGCATGATACATACATGTATACACAATGCATGTGCACATATCGTGCGATAGAATTGTAGGCGGAACGTCATTGTCGATTGGCCGATTGTCTCTGGTTGATTTATCGTCTGTACGCGTGTAAGTCATGACTAACATTTGCCTAGAGACAATTAATTTCACAATTTATGGTATTGTTTACGATTGCTTTGTATTCTGTTTGTATTTAAAGATCGTTGTTTTAAAACGTTCATGTGTTAAAACAAATTCATCTCTAGAGACATTTTTATCCATTGTTTTATATAGGATGTATCTTGACAGGTCAATTAGGAGCTTTATAGAGGAAGTGTATGAAGGACTTTACTTTTACAAAACAAATAACTTAACATTTATTAAAAAAGCTAAACTAGATGATAAATTTATTAAATTAAAATAAAATAAATATGTAAATATTTAGGTCATCGACACTTGTAAAGTTTTTCATCCACCTCTTAATAACACCCTGTGTAATACTGATTACGTACTTTTAAAACGATGTTTATTGAATGTGGTCTAATTAGAAATATATAATGTTACATTTTCAACAGACCGCGTTTCCAACATTCCGTTTAACAGAAACTATATTCAACATAACTCCCGCGGCAAGTTGTATACATCGTAAAGTTGTCTGGGCGAAACTGCTATCGTATTCAGAATACACCGATACTTTTACATGAGTTTACCTTAACCTCAGTAACTAGCAAACTGTTTCAACTACAAGCAGCAAAATTTACATTCCCAAATAATAGATTAATTTACACTTTTCAGTGTAAATATAGAGCGTCGGTGGTTCAGCGGTTAAGCACTTGACTTGCAATCTGCAGGTCCTGGGTTCGAATCCCGCCACGTACCAATGTGTTTTTCGATTTCCGATTTACATATGTACATTTATCCGACGTTCTTACGGCGAAGGAAAACATCGTGATGCAACCTGCACATATCTGAGAAGAAATTCATAGATATGTGTAAAGTCAACTAACCCGCGTAATTAACTATGGCTTATCACCCTTAACTTAGGGTAGGCTCCGAGCCCCTCGGTGGTGACGTTCGACGTAGTGAACTGATGATGAGTATATTGTGTTATGCAGATTCATGATGCTGGACTTCAATGTTTTGTTACTGTGACTCATAATCGTGATTAAAGCTTTATTAATATCATCTATATTTTACAATGCAATTGTATTTACATTATATTTGTATTGTTTGTAATTACAATAAAGTAAAATCAATATTTCATAGTAGTGTGAGTTCTTCATACATTATAAGTCCCTTTAACTATAATGAACTGTTTTCTTATTTACATGTAAGCTATGTTGTGTATCACGTCTGACTATAAATGTACTTATTCATCATAGCAGGCCTAATACATCAGGATACTTCAGACATTCAAAGGCATTTGGCGTTGGATCAAAGGTAGCGATTTTATTTGCCATTCGTTAGCAAATGGACTACACTTTAAAATTTTTGTCCGTTTCGAACTTTTCCTAGATAGGATTGTAATCATTTAACAAATTAAAAAATATATATTAAAGTTAAAAATTTTACCGATATTTATAATTTGTCTTTTACCGATATTTCCTGTGGAAATAAAATAGCAAATAACGAATGCGAAGTTTGTAAGCAATGGTTCGGAAACAATTGCACAGGCTATGCGAACCGACATTCGGCCCGTGTTATTTATGTGTGCGTTATTAGAAAAGCCATGTATCAAGCCTAAACAGAGATGCATTCGAAAGGACATTTGTTATTCGATTTTTTGTATCAGCAAATCCTACTCAAACGTTGAGCGATTCGTTACTATTCTATTGATATTATGCACATGATGAGTACAGTAAACTGAAATGGATTTTTTTACAAAATTTTTAAGAATAATTAAGGCTTTCAGGGTTTTTGCGGCGATTTTATAAAAACAAACATTAATTTAACAGTTCATTTATTAATATAGATTATTAGTGTCAATAAAACTAAAAAGATTTACAGACACAATATGACTCACAAAGGATGAAAAACATTCTCTTGAATCAGTCAAATATGCTCGATATTGTTTTCCAAATGAGTACACGGATTAAGAAGAGTTGTCTTGAAAGTGCAAAGGGAACGTCTAAACATTTTCTCTATAATAAGTTATTGTGTAAAATCAAACAAACCTTCCGTGTTGTATTTATAGTAATAAATTTCTATCGCAAAAATAATGACACAAACAATATACATAACCAGTAAACCATTAAAACAGGCAAGCAAAATGGACATATCCAAAGGTTTAGGAGTTTTAGTTTGAGAAAAATTCCTTTTTACCCTATTATCATGTATATAATCACTTAAGATTTTACTCACAAAGCCAGTTTCAGCAATTCTTTCTATAAGTTTATTAAGTTCGTAAACAGCAGGCCAGCGTGGGCGCACGTAGAAAGATGTCGGTACACTAGTTACACGTTCGTCTAGTATCTGAACTTCAGGGTTGAAATATTTAATCAATATTTCATTCGTAACCAGTAGAAATCTTTTCCCGTTTGCAATCATATTGATATATTTCGAAGTTTCATTTAATCTTATGGTCTTATAATTCATTTCCATTGGTGTATTATTAAAATAATCTTTCACAGAGGCAAAGCCGCCGTGCCCGTCGACCAACTCTAATGCCTCCCTAGCAGTGCTTACACGTGGCTCTAAAACTGTTAATTCAAATCTTTCAACCAGATCACTTTGGTATGCTACGCGTATAACAAGGCAAAACCAAATCCACAGTACGAAGATACTATTTGCCAACCAATTTTCCGTCACAAATTTAATCGGCTGCCCAAGAGACATACTTAAAATCCGAAATGTGACATACTTTAAATTTGGATTCACAGAACTAAATTTATGAATAAGCATGATCAATATGAAGAGAGAAATCCAAGCAAATATAAAAAATATAGTTATACTAGTGAGGAAGGGAAGCAACACTTTAATACGCATATATATTTCGCGTCGTCTAGGCAAACACCAGACGAGATTTAATGTTTGATACACGTATAAAGGCTGGGCTTGGGTATATCTTTTTTTCGTTAGTAATAGACTTGGGCCCAAAATATCGGCTGATCCGTTAATTATATCGCCGAATAACCCTGCTGCGCTCCCATTGAGGACTACTTCGATATCCCTATTGTTATTTCCCCCAATAAATTTCATAGTAGCGTTTACTCTCTCCAATACAAGATTTAAAACATTACCATCTATTCCACTTACGTGAACTGTACCATTATCAGCCTTTAATACAAAATATATAACAGCATTAACAGCTGTCACACGTATAGGGCATTTTTGGAAATTGTTAAATTTTCTTATAAAATATTTATTTTCAGGTAATATTATTGGACTGTAGTTACCACATTCTTTATCTCTATAAGGAATGTACGTAGTAAGTGTTACATTATTGTTCCCGCAAACACTTATCACAATGAAGTTACCAATATCATTTTGCCATGCTAATTTCATCAGTTCAGTCAAGATATTATTAGTAACTATTTCAGTGAAAATCAATATCACACTAATAGGGTTAACAACATTATTTACTACAGCATGTATAAAATATTTGAATTCATCAGGATCTGAAGCAAATAGTACTGTTTGTTTGTATTTCACCAATCTATGAAAATCATACGTAGTTGGTTCTACCAGCGCAAATGTTACGACGGATCCTTTATAATTTTCTAATAATCCAATTACATTTTCGGGGTCTGTTCTCCACCAAACTACACATGTGATTTCTTTATAGTCGAATATTTTATTAATTGTTTCCGTTGCCTTTTCTATTAATTTCGATTGAAAACATGATACATTGAACATGTTTAAAAATAATACTAAAATCGTAATTTTCATTGGTGACATGTTTGGAATACTTCGGTGGAATAAATCTTTAGTTGTATTTTAGAACTTTATATACGTAACTTAATTACAATATACTATTACTTTATTTACCTACAATACACATAATTTTTTTATGTAATGGAACTGAAGAAGGTAAATATTAATATGTAATTAGGTCATGTTGATTTAACAAATTATATGGTTATACGTGATTGATTACTCATATGCATGTGTTTGGAAAAACTTTTTAAAAATTATAGGCCGATGAAATCGAAACTAAAGTGGTGAAAACCATTATGTATAAATCCTGGGTATCCCTATCGAACTCGCATTAAAAAAATATATATTCAAGGTCAAATTCCCAAAAATGGGCTTTTCGCGTCTTTTGAAGAAACGGTAAGTTTTATCATCATTTGACCGAGTTGTACGTCTTAAAATTATGTTCAAAAAATCTTAACGTACTTTTTTTTAAAAGTCACTGTTCCAGATATTACTGTTTAGCTGTTTAAAGTCCATTTTTCTAGCTACCGATCGGAACTTCGTCTACGTCAAATTAAAGTTTTAGTAATTTAGAATGTTCCTACAGTAAATTTAATAATAATTTTAGAACCAGCAGAAGTTCATCTAACGTATTAGAAAATCATCGTCAGCGTAACCTTTTTCCTTTTTAATGTCGGCATATATTTACTCTTTTCTATGTCTCTATGTGCCATTATATCTAAATTAAATGTTATGTTGTAGAAAAAAATATAAACAACAAGACTTACCAATTTGATACTCGCAGGCGTCTTGTAGTTTTATCACCCAAACAAACCAGATCACAGCATTCACATCACCGCACGATACGTTATTAAAGACATAAATTAAACCAACACTTTGATAATACTGAAGTCTCTTAAATGAGTTTCTATAAAATGTTTCCCGGGATATACAATTTAATGTTTGTCAACTATTTTAAACGCAGAGCCCAAGATAGAGCGAACTGGCGCACTGTGGACGCCCTCTGCCCCACTACGGGGACATAGGACTTTAAAGCAGTCAACTTTTTTAAACTACCCTCACAGTACAAAAATATTTCATTGATTTTTTTTATTCACATTATCGTATTGATACTAAATTTTGTACAGATTATCAATTAGACTAACTGTAGTTAACAGCTTAAGTTGTTTTAACAGATAAAAAACTGAACAAGTTGTATACTTATCGAATATTTATCATGTTTATTATGATATGTTTGCACTGAACTGCTATGGTATTTATTTCTAAAATATAAATTATGTTTATTAAGACGTTATTTTTTATATACTATGTACTAGCTGTCGCCCGCAACTCCGTCCACGCGGAATTAAAAAAATACATAATTAGTAGCCTATCTGTTCTTCCAGACTATGTTTTATATGTATGCCAAATTTCATTACGATCCGTTCAGCCATTGTGGGGATGCCTTTAAGCAAACATCTATGCATCCATCCAAACATTCGCATTTATAATATTAGTAAGATACTGTCTTTCTGAACGTATTGCACTTGACCGCTGTACTGGAACCTAGATCTGTCAGCTTATTTTTCGTATAACTTACGATAAAAAAACGTCCAAGGACATCGCCAATAAATATCTTAGAAAAATATTAGATATATTGTTTGGCATCTTATAGTACTTATGTATTTAAAAAGGAAATATGAATAAAACCAAACTAATTTATACATCGTTTTATAATTAAAAAGATTTAAAAGTATTTTATAAAAGTTGGAATTCAAAAAAGGTCATAGATTTTTCCTCCCAATGTTACTTGTCCTTAACGAAATTAACTTAAAAGCGTTTATAACAACTTAAAAAACAAATAAATTACTAAACTTAACATAACTTATCGTCGTTAATAAACTCAATTAAGAACATTTCTTTGTAATTATTGAAGTAATTCTAAAATCAATAAATTAAAAGACACTTTACATTAATTTTGTTCTCTTAACCTCATGTGTACTAAATATAAGCAAATATGTCAAAAGCTTAAGCGTTTATCAAAATTTGTCATAAATATAGAATTATAAAAATGTAATTATTGTTAAAATTAATATATAAAAACTTTATATTTAATATAAAGTTTTTATATATTAATTTTATTGTGTGAAAATACATATATGTATAATAATATATACTACATATTATCATGTATTGAATTTTATTTTCTGTAGAGTTTTAATAGAATAGAATATGTATATATATCAAAAAATATTTTGAGGTAGGCTAATAAATATTCTCCAAACTTCAGTATAAATTGCCTGGTCATTCATTTATACATATAAAATAATGTGCTTGCATTTATCATAGCCGTTTAAAATTTATGTTTTGATATAAATAGAAAATGGCGCCATCTAGCCGCCGCGTTGTGTCAACACGGCGTCAACGAGCAAAACGGCTCCGTTAATGATGGAGAGGGACGCCTTGGCTAGATTCTTGTCTCTAAAGTCGCTTTTGCCGTAGTGTTGGAATCTGGAAAACAACATTAAGTGAATTAGCATCTTAAAAATTTAACAAAAAAAATGTTCTACAAGCCTATTATGCCTCCACTAGCTTATTGTAATCGTTTTGAAGGATAATTTTGTAAGAACACGAATTCGTTTTACCGACCACTAACGACCACGAAGTGATCGCTATAAATAAGGCAACTTTGATTCTACTTGTTGGCAAGGCTATACGATATTTAGGCTAAAAGCTCTAAAATCTACTACCTCGAACCGAGTAAACCAAGAGGCATTAACCTCTTTCAGATATGTTTATCCCAGGGCACAGTTACAAAGAACCCACCTGTCAATGATGACCGCACCACTGGCGACGAACAGCGCAACGCCGACCAACGAGTAGAAGATGTCAATACGTTTGTGTGACGGGGTCTGCATCAAGTAACCTATAATTTTAAACATTATAATTATTAGAGTGACCTCCTATTTACTTACGCGTAACGTATAACCAATCAATACGATACGACCCATACCTATACCCCTACTTAATTAAAGTTTTTCAAATTAGTTGATTTTTAAAGTGATTACTTGAAACACACGTTAGGCGATAGAACTATCATTTACCATACAAAGTTGTTAAAGATTAACCGTTGTATTCTGAGACCAAAATATCTATATAAAATATATCGAAAAAAAGAGATGACAATATGTTTTAAACTAGAATTTTCATCGAGGAAACCCACGATAAACGATACGCTATTGTTTTAAGTTTGGCGTCTATTGCAAGTCTAAAATACAAAATGTTATCACATGCGTAGATAAATATGGTGTAATTATGAAACATCGCTAATGAATGTTGAAAATCAATCAATCTACGGCTCCAATCAAAGCACTATTTTCAAGTGTTCCGTAACAATGAGTGATAACGCGGCATAAACATGTTTAAAAGTGAAACTGCTTGGCATTCCTGATAACTGATAAAATTGCTGGAAATACATTAAATAAAATTATCAACATTAATATCTTTTCAATAACAACAGAGACTTTTAAAATTATATTTTAAATTGTAACTTATTCTTAAACTAGCTGTCGCCCGCGACTCTGTGCGCGCGGAATTGAAACAAAACAGTAACAAAGTAGCCATTTAATCTTTCAGACTATGGTCCACATCTGTGCCAAATTTCATAAAGATCCATTGAGCCATTCCGGAGATACCTTCGAACAAACATCCATCCATCCATCTAAACTTTGGCATTTATATATATTTGTAAGACTAGTAAAAAGTAAGATGAAATCAGTTTCATTGTGTTATTGTAAATAGACGCCATTATACAAAAATTTATTTTAGTACTTTGAATTATTACTTATTCTTTATCAAGTTGAAAATTACTTAACCTATTCTGATTTTTTTTAAAATAGATATCTCATTCGTTAGTTAGAGGTTATCTGTGCACCAACCAGAGTATAGATTTGTATGGAATGCGAACGTGTTAAAATGCCAGATTTTAGAATTTGAGCGATTCAATTTTAATATATCAATTGATTTACCTGCAGCGGCTCCAGCAAATATAATCAGATATCCAATAAATGTCCCGGTGACCAGCATACCGAGATCCGCGTCTGCATTATAACTGTGGTAGTGCAGGGCCACGCATGAACAGGTCAGCGCCTAGCAATAAAAAAAGAGTTTATACTTAGAGTCATGACAACGGTACAGTATGATCAAGAAATCACCAGGAAATAAAGATTATTTTCTAGTACATGGAGGCAGACGAGCAAGCGATCACAAAAGATTGTTGAAATGGCGCGAAGTGGTCGCTTCTCTATTGGCAAGTTAGAAGGTTGCAGATTCATTGCCCACATTTAAAGGACAGGATGAGGATGTGCAGGAAAAGTTTACTTCCTCCTTTTTATATCTATCCCCTATCCATTCCTTATATCATAATCATATTTTTACGGAACAAGGGTATTATCTATTTAGGTTGAAAACGAATGCTTTAGGATTGCATTGTAGATGTTCGAACATCATAAAGGGTTTGATGTCATTATCTTTGGGTAACTTACTTGTACAAGAAAGAATATCCTAGTTGCGGCGAAGGTAATCTAGCTTATCATATTGCGTACTAAACAAACACAGAATGTTAATGGTCCTTTCTCATCGTACTGATTATTGCAGTTGATAAACACACATTTATATGGTCAAAGATTATCATGTTACTATGTCGTATGTTAAGCAATTTTAATATTTCATATCAAACGTTTCTTTGTGTTGTTGATAGCATAAAAAATCGATGTATTGTATAGATTTAAGTAAAAAAAGCTCAATTTTATTACAATTTAAAGTAAAGATTTTTTATCATTCCAGATTGATGATTGTATTTATTACATTCAACACTATGACAATAATTATTGAGGATAAAATGACGTCATATCTGCGAAATCCTACACATTTATTTGGTAGGTGACGTAATATTTGACTTGCTTGAAAGTCTACCATCTAGTCGAGGGTCGGGGAGGGGGTATGATGTCATACTTATAACCGGTTCCACATTAAATGCGGGTCGCGTATCATCGAGGCCGAAGACAAAATAATAATGTGCTATGAAAACACATTTACGTTTATTAACACCGTTATCACGTTGAAAAACTATATAATGATCACCCGTGATTTTTAATTTTTATAACAAAAAATAGGGTACCCTATATTGTTAATATACAGTACGGGAGACTACAACAGATATTTAGTTGTTTATGTTATTACGAATATGGTTATCATCGTAATCCAAGTCAACGGATGGGAACCAGTAACGTGGGGCGAAGTCGCTGGATGCGAAAAGTGGTGAACCGCATATTGTGAAGGACACTAGGAAGGCATATGTCCAGCACTGGATTGATGTAAATTATTTTTTTGCTTATAAATTCAATATCTCATCCGTACATATGTCTGTTTCTTCAACGCGTATTCGATTCACGCGTCAATTAATGGTAAAGAAACGCAACGTTTAGCCCAATAAAGATTAAGCCATGAGCTGAATTGCGTACAGGGTCAATCGAAAAGCCTCGAGAAGTAAAGGCGAAACACACCAATGTCGATAGACACACGCATTACGCATTTTAATTACATTTTATGGATTTAGTCAAGATTTTAATTAAAGTAAAGAATTTTGAATTACGTCTTTTCTTTAATAACATTTGCATTCATTAAAGTTGCTGACTTTTAATTATAAATAAATTTATTTAAAATATGTTGCAATATGGAATGAAGAAGAAATAAATAATTAAAGAGTCGTTGTGCCCATTTTGTACAGGCGAGAGATTTAATGACATATGTCATTAATTTAGCTTTAGATAAATTGTATAATAGATTAATTAAAATGGAAAGAAATAAAATTATACAATTCTTAACACCAAGCTGCTTTATCCAAAATAATTATAATAAGCACAAAAAAAATTATACCTAAAAATGTATATGACATGATACACTATATTACAATTTTTCTATTATTATATATTTATTTCAATCGTGCTTACTCTTCAACTTATGGAATTTAAGGATAAAATAAATAGTAAACAATTTAGGTAAATAATAAATGAAAATCACAAATTGAGTCTTAAAAACACATCGATAGAATTGCAGGACTTATAGCAAAACTATTGGACATTAAAGATTTTTTTGGTTTATTTTATACAGACGTCTGATGCATACGGAGTTCTGTGCGGAAATGACCATAATATTGATAAGGTATCCCCTCTACGTGTCTACGGATTAGTTCTAGAAAGGGCCGCTCAGAGCGTACACTATACCAGTCTGTCCATGATGACGGGTACCGTGAAGTATTCAATATTCTTGGTACTTTCAAAGTATATGTGATGTTTTAAATATATTTAGTACTTTATATTTAAGAGATTCGAGATTTTTATTTATAGGCTGGAAATATGTAAGTTAAATAAACATTGCGTACCAAGGTTAACTTTTTTGATAAAATTATATTAATTTTTTGTCACATTGTCCTTGTTTAAAATAGGGATGAATTGTTTGCAGCAAACAGTATGTTAAGATACTAAAATTATTTAATTGTATACATATGACCAAGGCTAAGACAAGTTTATAATCAAAGCTAAAATCGTAACATAATCATGCGAAAACTTTTAAATGAGCACAACATAGTTGGTCAGTCGACACCTAAAATAGAGATAATGTAATCGGACGCTGTAAAGCGTAGCCGGCGACCTACATACCACGTGGTTAAGGAATAAACACAAGTAGATATGGGTATCTTAACGAAAATTAATGACCAGGATTAGCTCACATTTCGCATATGTGAATCAGATCATTGAACCGGTTCGCAGATCAGCTCAATTTATACCTACACTAATGATTAGTCTCTCTGCGACTCGCATGCTAGCCTCCCAGTTTCTCCTCTTGAAAAATTATAGAACATCGCGTTGAACCGTGACCTGCCAATTTAGTTGCTGAGCTAGAGCTAAACGGTTCAAGCCTATGTGAGCTGAACTTTTGAACCGGTTCAAACTGATCTTTTTAAGTTTACACTGTAAACTTCGCTAATAATTAAACAATGCTGTCCAGTGTACAAAATGCAATGTAATTGTTCCCGAGATGTGCTTATTCAAAGCACCTTTTTTGAATTACCATTTAATTGCGATAGCATAAAATGTAATAATTGATTGCTTAGGTAAATCAAACTATGATTAACAACTTAACTGCACGGTCTTTAAGCCTAAAACGTGTAGAAACTTAATTTCATTCAAAATACTGGTGTTCACAATTCAAGGTCAAAGGGAGCGTGTATTTATTGACGTAGGTCTGGCGGTACAAATGTTATGTTGATATGCTAGGATTGTTTTTCTTTACTATAATATATCGCATTGAATAATTTAAAAAATGTTTTATTCTTTTATAGATTCATTAAATCGTTAGTTTTATCAGATAACTTTGTACTGTAGAGTAATAAAAATAAGTCAGATTGCAGGAACATATCGCGTCATATTTCCGCTTCTGAGTGTTCAGATATAAAAAACATTATGACTTCATTCACTACGATAACGCAGCGCAGTCCGTTGTAAGACCACACCCTAGACTGTAGGGCAACTTATGTATAGTAGAGGACGCTGATTTCCTACCCACTTTGACGAACTGCCATTTTGTACGCTAAGAATGCATTAAGGTCGAAAACTTGTCATGGCAGCATACATATGTGATAAATTATAGGTCTTATTTTGAAATTTTGCTTTATAATATACGACCCTAAGTTTAATTCTTCAAGTACACAACAAACTGCGACGCCATTGCCACACGTTTAAATTTATATATTAAGCATATAAACATGAAAATATTTTGTAGGTATCAATGTCAAACTTGAATTAATTGTAATTATAAAAAAATCTATTATGCCGTGTATTACAGTTTAGGAATGTTGCATATTCTGATCAAATTAAACTTATTAAAACTATTGCAGTTTGAAGTTACATTCATTTAATAAGCATAGTAACAATTGTTCAAGAAATCAATAAGTCTAAATTATAAACAGTAGTTTAAGCTTTGCATTAAATTGAAACCAAAATATTCTACGGCGTAGTATACAAACATTTTTATGAAACAAAACTACGCATCCTAATGGAACCTGTTTTGCAAGGTGACCTTGACATGCAATGTTTATACACAAAATTTAAAACAAAACGTTATGTAAAATATATTTCAACCATAAATAAGCTGTTTATCAAACTGTTAAAATGCTAAAATGGTACTTGTATCCACAGCGAGAATGTTTACAATATATATTTGCAAACAAACGTTGATATTAATGTTTTACAATTAATAATAAGAACTTACCAGTTCAAGGAATTTAACGATGGACAGTCTGCTGATCGTCATTTTGATGCACTTAAGATATTCGTTTTAATTCGAAATTAAAAGGTTTTAACCACGCTAACGTTATACCGAACGGCGTGACGCAATAAGACTGACTAAACGAACATGGGTACGGAGTCGGAGTACGGTGCGGCGCGGCGCGGCGCGGCGTAGCTGTAGAACCAGACATGATATCAACACTTTTTACGGCAAATGAGATCACACTAGGATCGAGTAGGCCGTCATTATAAGCTTTTATTTTTCTTATCAAATACTTTACTTATGTTAGATATATATAACTAAACTAAAACTAGTAATATGTTTTTTTTAATAAATTTCGTTTTTTTTTTAAATAAATTCTATATTTTTGGGATTTTCCTAAAATAAAGTATTTGTTGGTGTCACTACAAATGTCAAACTGGCGATGACATCATCTTATTGGTGAATCAATAATAATAGCGTGATACAATTAAAATTACTATAAAAAATTGTATTTTTAATCGTTTTATACTTTTCTTAAAGGAAAACTTCGAGAAAACTTTTTTACAAATTAAAAAACTGAAATAAAGATGTTCTAATGATAGTAGTTATTTAGTAATGTAACATTGTCAAGTTCTTTTTAATTAATACAATTAATTAATTAATAGAACCATTTTCAATTTTGTCAATTGTTTCCATGTTTACCAACACCTATTATTCTTACGCATAGTCCCTCGTAAATAGTTAACATATAGTTCTAAATATAAAAATGAAGTCTCGCCTTAGTCACCTACATATATACGTAGGAGTGTATCATAGGCTGTAAGCCTTGAGTACAAATTGTTAATAAACAACACGAACCTATTATTAAAAAATTAAATATGAAATACTCACTAGTAATTCTTCTAAGAAAAAACTATAAAGATAACAAGAATTGGCATAGTAGCATAGTTTTGTTAAACACACAATATACGTACTAAAAGTAGAAAATACAATAATTTATGTCACTTTTATAGAGTTGTCCAACGCCGTACTTCTAATTTACTCAATTCTGCTACTAACTTTTAAGTTCTGCTAATACCATAAACCTTAAATAAAATAATATTTTATATTTAACTTTTATACGATAATAACAAATCCGTAAACTTAATACAAGTCTTTCGACACAACATTCTTAGTAATTCGAGACACTAAAAGATTTGACCTTATTGTGCCGCTCTTAAATAGACAACGTAAAGTAAGATATCTATTCCAATTAACAAAATCGAGAGTAGTCGCTAACATAACTTCTATTTACAAACATACACTAATTACTTTGTTTACTTTATTACAAAGAAGTTACACTTTTATGGTTTACGTAATAACGTAACTGTAAATTAAGAAGGTCGGGATAACCGGTGCAATCATGCACAAAATTAGATACCAAGGAATATGTAATAATTTGCAACTATGATAAGTTATAAGTATATTTATGAAATACAAATGATGAAAGAAGATTTTAAATTAATAGAAACAATGGTAGATTTTTAAATAGAATCAAGAAGTAACTTATAATGGATGCAAAATAAATAAAATATAAATGAAAATATAAATATGATTTCAACGCCATCTATTTGAGAATGCAGAAACCGAAGCGCTATAAAATAGACTAAAAAAGGTCCTAGTTTTATAATTACACAACAGATGGCACATTTACTAATTCAAACTAAAAAAATAAAAATACGAACTATTATTTTTAATATTGGATATTGAAATGAGTAGAAAATAACATGCACACTTGGCCTTTCAATACTTACAACCAACGAAAATTTTCATTATTCTATAAATATAAAACGATTTGGTCGTAACATACACGAAGGATTAACAAGTACATATTTAGTGTAATTGACGTTTGAGTATCATAAATTAAAGTATGTCGAAGCGAAACTACGTTAACGTATCAATTGTAGGTATCTTAACAATTCTAGCAATATCATTTGTACTTCAAATACAAATACCATAAAGCCGTGAGTTCCGCTCGAGGCCCGAAACACTTCAAATTGTCACATACCGAAGCAATATTGCATAGTCTATTGCATGTTTTAAGCTTGGAATTATCGATATAGCATAAAGAGGAAACCATTATCCAATCTACTGACACTGGTATAGTTAAAAGATAATTTAGTAATATTTATGTGCATTGAATAAATTTTTATCTTGGTTTTCATGGAGGCACTCACGATTTAGCAACAAGGATGTCATGAATTACATCAGAAACGGTACATCACCTCACGGTATTTGCCATGTAACAATATTCAGACTCAAACTTTATCTACGGTACAATACCAAGAAATAAGAGTTATGTTTTTAAGAAACATCGGTTCTTGGTAGGTAAATAGAAATATCTACAGATTTAATAAAACAAAATGACAATAAATCCCATTGCACTGAATATGTTTTAATCTTATTGCAACATGAGTTACTCGTTACGTGCTACGTTACGCGTCATGCGTTGGTAGCCTTGTGGCTTTTAGTCCTGGTGCTGGCGGTGTCCTTGTGGGCGGAGCAGAGAGAGAGTATGGAGTCCACCGCCATAAGGACAGCGGCGGCCTGCGCACACGCGGCGGCGGCCTGTGCGAAGGTGCGGCGGGCACACGGTGGTACGTCGTACCAGGAGTGCAGCGTTAGCGCACCGCATGCACCGAACAGCACGCCACCGGCGCCCGACCACCACGCCTCCACGTACGGGTCGGCCGCCGCTGATACTACTTCACCTGCACACATAGACTACTGTTTTATGACATCCTGGTATAACTGCTGCTTATAGTTTGAGGTTAGTAATAGAGGTAGTAGTAGTAGTAGAGGTAGTAGGGCTGGGGATGGGAAAGAATTCTACATAACTACGTTATCTTCTCCGAGTCACGCAGTATGCTTAAAGCATTTTCCACTCAAGAAATAAAAGGCTATAATACTGATATTATCCTTATAGTTAAAGTTGCCTTAGTACAATAACGATGAAAAGGCACTACATTGTCAATACATCGATTCCCTTTGTCATAACATCACGATCGTCTATAATTTTAAACAGCAATAAAGGAAGCTCGAGGAAGCGGCCACGCCGTGCCTTGGATCGCCTATAAGTATGGACAATATGATGTCAGATATAAGTAACACGCAGTCGCGGAAGTGGAATTTTAAGCACGGGATGCTTACGCATACTGATTAAAAATACGGAAGTCGAAACATAGAAATGAAAGTAAAACTAAAGTTATAATAAGCTAAGTGTAGGTTTGTTCGCCCAAAGGACTATTTTTGGATAGTATTTTTTAATTATAAATGTTGACAGTAAATGTAGTGTGCAGTGAATGTAAGCTCGTGCAAATATGAATATAGGAACCTATACTTTGGTTGGATAGCATTTACTCGTAAGTCGCATTTATACCTTGAAACTATCAAAAAAGAATAAAATTACATACCTAAATACTAGCTTCATCGTCAAATTCCTCAGAGTCCAGATAGGCTAAGCTTAAATCGAATAGCATTACGAACGCATTCACGAGGGCTAGTGCAGCGGCAACCAGAGCGGCAGTGTGGTTGCCGGTCCTAGGATACGAGGGGTCATGCGTTCTAGCCGCTAGGACCATGCCTCCACTCACTGAGTACAGCCCCACTCCCAGGATACCAAAATACATGTCCTGCACTAGGTCCAGCGGTGCGAACAACATCTCCCCTAAAACGGAGTACTTTGATCAGTCAAGAATTGTGTAGGAAAGAAAAAAATCGAACCCATACGAAGAGGAACATAGATATAGCGTTAGAGAGAAGGTATAAATGCGACTTGACGGTAAATTCGTATCGCCGTGTTTAGCTTAATTATATATATTGCAATAACTCAAATGTATTACTTACTCGAATGAATAAAAACAACGCATAAAATAACAACATCATTACTAAATATAGTAGAATGCTTTCCATCTAACATTCACGTGTTGAATTACTTTATCAAAAGTAGCATCGAGTAAGTAACGGTTTGGCTTAAATGATATAAAAGTGCCTTTTTTATAATTTAAAATTAGTACAAGCAAAGTCAGAAACTAGACAACAGAATGTTTAGTAAATCATGTGATTTGAATAAAAAATTGTAACCTTTAAAAACGTTACCATAAATTTTAGATGGGTTCATGTAAACAAGAAACTTTACTATGTTACGTGTTCTAATGCGAAGCACGTAATAATTGAAATGGTTTTACGCTGGCCTATAAAAGACGCTGATGAACTGATGTAGTCATGTTATAAAGCGTTAAGTATCAGGAAATCACATCAATCAATGCTTAGATTAGACGAAGCAAGTTACATTTTGCTTGAGAAACACGATTTTATACATTATTTTTTTTATCCACGGACGCTTGGTGTAAACCATTTCAAATGTATTATAAACTTGATGTGTACCTCCAACGCTAATGTTACCTTTTAGCTAGGCGAAACTCTGACGTTAACCTAACCATAGACACAATGTATCTAGAAGAGCACTGCAATAAATTTCATTAATACAATGCAGACGAGACTGTTCGTCTTACTAATGACAGATAAGGAAGCGTGACATTGATAAACAGAAGCTGTAGAAGACAGACATGAAACTCAAATCTTAAGTTTAAAAACATAAATTCAGATATCTTTAAGAGTAAAAAATCCTTATTAAGCATTTTTATATTCACGAACGAATTTCTATCACTTCACGCTATATAACCAGCCTCAGATGGTTTAGAAGGAATAAAGAAACGCTTCACCACATCATAAATTTACAAGCGTAACTTTAACCATAGAACTTAAGAGTGTACAGTTGCCGAGTTAATTAAAGTCAGATAATCGTTATGCTTATCTATAAATTCTGACACATAAATCATTAAAATAACCCTAACAATCCAGTCTTACATGCGAAGTTAATTTGATTCTTACCAACAATTTCACCCGAGAGTACAACAACGTAGCCCACATAAGTCCCAGAGCAGAGCATTAGCGTAGGAATGTCTGTTAAATCGTAGCTATAGTGGTGCAGCGTGAGGCAGGCAATGGCCAGCATCTGTAACAACGTAGGTACTTGTTCAAACACGCAAATAACATAACTTGAACCTGACACTGGATTAATAGAGTTCTGTTCAATGTTAAAGTACTAACTTTAAACTCGTACTTAAATGCGTGAACTTCAACAGTTAATTTAATACGAAGCAACGTTGACATGAGCAAGACAATTGTATACGAATAGTTCATTTTAAAGTACATACAATCAACCATCAAATAATATAATTGTTATTCTGCACCTAGTAATACTGAATAGCAATATTACAAAGTGATTTGCTGTTAATAATTTAAAAATGATATCCATTTTGTAACGCAATGAAAATATCCTTGTTCAATACACAATCATTTGCATGAAGACAGACAAACGTCTAATATTTTTATGACTTATAGCTTACGAACGACAATATTCATTAAATTACTTTATTAAACAGAACTTACCAGTTCTAAAAATTTAATAACACAGGTTGGAATTAACATTTTAACTAGAATAAAATAAACACGAATAAAAATTATATAATTAGATAAGAACGGTTACATGTCACCAAAACATCAAAGTGTCAGATAATTGTCAAAAATGACAAAATGCCATAAAGTTTGACTTGAAAAGTAGGTTCATTAAGTTTGTCTATGTTAGAGATTCCACTTTATTTGTTAACGTAAACCATTTGAAATAAGGTATATCAGATTATCGAAAAGTTCAAGGCATATTCCGGTAAGGGATTTATTTAAGGCATCATTCATGTAAAATGTAGCGCTAGATTATCATGGACTGTTTTGGCTGTCTATCGCTAGATATAATAGTTCTTACATAATCAAATCCTTACACATATAATAAATAAAAAAAGACTTAATAAGTAGCCTATTTCTTCTTCTAGACAATAATCTGCATCTGTGCTAAATTTCATCAAGATCCGTTGAGCCGTTCCGGTGATACCTTCTAACAATCTTTTGCATTTATAATATTAGTAAGATTTAGACCTACTAAGGTCTGTGAACATGACCTTAGTAGGTATCGAAGTATTGACATTTAAAAGTGCAAGCGAATTCAGAAAAGCGTGCCACAGAGAGTGATTGTTAAGTTATAAAGAGCACCATTTCAAAACTTATTCCCAGCCGATGCGAGTCGAAGGTTACAATTTTACTGTTAGTTCGAGATCATTACAAACGAACAATGCAGTGAATGTACACACAGACAACTTCTATAGATGCATTTTATGAGTATACGCAACAAACATTTTCTTGTAATAATATTAATAAAGTATTTTATAGTCTTATCTGTTTATAAAGTACTCTGTAAATTCATTACCTCCCTGTCATTATCCCAGTCTAAGTGTGGTCGTTTCACAAGGATTTTAACCTCCAGATCGATTCTCTTATTATTTCAATCTTAGCCATAAAGATACTCCTTATGAACAGACAGACACAATGTTTAAAAACCTGTTTTTTGTTTTCAGAAACGCAAATACATCATGTACGAAATATTATTATCTTTTCGATACCATTTCAATATAAATATGTATAGATTGTAGAAAATATCATAGTAAGAGACTTTATGAACAAATTGATCATTAAATTAATATTATAGTAATTCATAATGTTTACCATATTTTTTGGGATAATTCCCATTTACACTATTTTCTTTTCAGTTTATTATGCGAACGACACCCCCCTGGTCCGTGTAGACGAGATGAGAAATTTCATTTTTAATTTTCAATTTCCTTTCCCGACTAAATAAGACGACAAAACGGTTGTTAAACAACCTCTAAAGATAAATAAATTTGCATAAAGAAAAGATTTTGGCTGTTTAAGGAATGTCTTCATTATATCAATCTCCTGTCGTAAAGCGGCACCTGTAGTTCAGTGTAGATTTTAATTTTGTAAAGAGGTTCGAGAAATAACATAGATATAGGTCATCAATTAGTATCATTAGGGTTATAAAATATGCAGAAATTAAAAAATCATTTACGTTGCTTAAAAATAAAAACATTAAAACTGAACGAAAAAGAGGCCAAATACACAAGTAAATTACGTATAGAAATAAATTTTCTAACTTTGATATAAACATCATTGAATTCGAATTTATTCAATCTATCCCAAAAGGTGTGGAACATAATAAATATCAAATTGTTTCATTTAACCTCGTGGTCTACCCTTTTTATTCCCAACTTATAAAACTTACGACCTAAGGGGAAACAACAGCATACAAATAACACATTTGATAAATTATCAAGGGATTTCATCAGTGAAAAATACGTGTTTTCAGTGCCAAAGCAATCGCACGAAAACATATCGTCATCCCTCTCTTTATCTTTGACATAACAGAGATAACAATATGTTTTATACTCAGATTTTAGGGTCAGAAACCGTAAATTAGTTAAAATATTTTAAAAAGCTCTTAGCCAGCAACGCATCTGTGGTTCCTCTGGTATTGCTGATGTCCATGGGCGTCGTTGAACACCTCGGTGTTCCCACTACTCGTTTGTCCCCTTCTGTTATAAAAAAACAAAAACTAAATAATGATTTTTTACAATATTAGTCTATATGAGAAATATATCATTTTAATGGAAAATTATGGTGACATTAGTTTCGGATGTTTGTGTGATATTCGTGAAATAAGGTCTGAGCACTCGTAGTTCGAGGCGTTACATAGCGAACGCGCAGGGCGGGCCCGGAATGAGATAATTGTGAAACGAATAGTTTCACGATGTTCATTCCAATTATTCTAAAAACAATTTGCTATTGATAGTGTAGAAACAATTTATTTGAGATAATCCATTATTAAAGTTGTTTTCAAAACAACTATTTCTGTTTCAATGTCGTCTCTACAAAATATACATTTTATTTCGATGTAACAAAACTTACCTTAAGTTACCATTTAATGACTCTTAATGCGCCAAATAAACTAATAACGATGCATAAAACTGCGTTTATTATGTAAAAGTAAATCAAAAAATAACTATTACTTTTCTTTAATTTGATAGATTTATCATTTTCCCGAATATGTCATTAGTGTAAAGGCTTTTTTGTCACTTAAAATTGATATGACAAGTCAAGCGCTTACGCTAATATGAAAGGGCCTTCGCCGTTCTTGTACTGTTAGAATTCTCAGACATATGGGCAATCGTGAGTCAGTTTATCAATTTAATGCGGATCTAGGAGACACACCTTATTTTCTACTTTAAATGCCAACATGCACTTATCATCGATTCTCTTCTGTCACACGAAATAATGGTACACATACATACAATGGATTAGGTTACATTTAATAATTGTATGGTCATATAGAGCTTTATAAATGGATTCGAATGTATAATAGACTAACTATCAAACTTTATTACTTGCTTGTGTTATTCCGGGCAATGTTCTGCACACATTTCATTTAGCCGTTCCGGGGATACATTCTAACAAACATGCATCCATCCGTACATCCAAACATTTGCATTTATTATATTAATAAGATAATAATAAAAGAATTGCTCATTTAAAGATATAAGATTTCATTTTGAAGGGTGCAAAAATAATACGTGATTACAATTTTAAAAGTCCGTGCAATTTTAATAACTACAAATATGTTTTCTAGTAATTAAACAAAGAAAAGAAGACTTCTAAATCTAACCGCTAAGTTGTATGTTGCTCTTTGAACTTTGACATATTGAACAAGACAAACGGTCAGCATCCTGAAACGTATGTACATTACTTAGAATGCAAATCCTAGTCACTTTTAAACTTGTGTTTACTTGAAATACAAGTTGAAGTTATCGCTTTCCAACATCAATATTTTACATACTATGTGTGTAATAATTACAAAGTGCAAACACATAATTTGAGTATACAATAATTATCTATATAGTTATTAATTACAATACATATTTAAAGTGTTTTTATGGAGATATTTCCAAATGTATTACATAAATATTTTAACAGAATAGAGATACCAAAAAATATTCTTCATCTATCTACTCAGCCATGAGACTGCTGGGCATAGGCCTCCCCCAAAGATTGCCACGATGACCGATCTTGTGCCACCCGCATCCAGGACGCTCCCGCAACCTTGACCAGGTCATCGGTCCATCTTGCGGGAGGCCTATTCTTTATCTATTATCCTGAAAAACTAGAAATCTATAATCAACCAAGTAATCTATGAAAGTAACGCTGACTATCAAACACATTTTATTCGATGGTTTCGATAAAAATTTGAGCGTCGGTGGCTCAGGGGTTTCAGGACTTGACTTGTAATCTGCAGGTCCTGGGTTCGAATCCCGCCATGTACCAATGTGTTCGATTTTCGATTTACATATGTACATTTATCCGACGTTCTTACGGTGAAGGAAAACATGATGATGCAATCTGCACATATCTGCGAAGAAATTCAGAGATATGTGTTAAGTCAACCAACCCACACTGGGCCAGCGTGGTTGACTATGCCCTAGTCACCCCTAACTTAGGGTAGGCTCCGAGCCTTACGTCTTATATAGTAAAAAAAGCTCTTTGATTCGTGTAAAACTTATAGTTAGTAAGCTAACTAAATCTACGTTACTTATTTGTTTTATTACTGATATCGACAAATCCAAATAATACACAAATAGAGTTGTTAACTAAATAATAAATACACGAACGCTTCAATTTAAACTGGCATTACTACGTCTAATCATCCAATCACTTTAACAACAAAGTCGTGGGAAACGACTAAGTAAATATCATAAAAGCCACCAAGGTTCGCGTTAAAATTTCATACGGCAATTGTAGCTAACGAGACCGGCATCGGAACAAGATCATTTTCAATAATGGCCGATGACAGAGAGAGGAGCGGCTCAGAGCGCCGTGGTCACGGCCGCGACGGTCTTCGACGATCCGCGACGTCATCGCTATGTGCAATTTGCACTATATTGCACCAAATTCATTGATTGCTGCCTACACAAAAGGCTGCACGATAAGTTTGGTTGAATTAAATATGTGTAAGTTCACTACGAGGTAGCATGTTAGACGACGCTCAGCATGCAATGGAGATGATTGATAGGATTGCTTGCAAGGGCATGGGTCTGATATACCATCAGAATCATCAGCAATGGGTCGTAGATCCTAGGCTACCTAAGTTCGCGTATCGTTGGTACCAATGAAGATGAAGATTGGTGAAGATGCTAAAGTGGTAATCCGATGGCGAAGGTTGATGTCGGGATTCCTATTGGATGGAGAGTGACCCAAGGAGTATATGGAATAACTTCTACGAAATAAAAAAAATTCTATGTCAAACCTCGTGCGTTCCCATAACATAGCCTGTATGACCTGAGTATTGATGTCCATGGGTAGTTGTGAAACAAAATATTTTATCAAATCCGCATAGCCGTCATAGCAAAAGTTCATCTTTGGGCCATCTAAGTTAAGTTTTTTTGTCTTAGAATAAAACCTGTCAAATCCAAGTAAACTAAAAAAAGCTCCAAAAGATACTCACTAAAAGATAAACTCCAACTTATATACAAAGAAATGTTATAAATCTAAATAATATAAAATTTTTACGGTAAGCACAAGTAGGTACTAGGTACTTACGATTAACATTTGTTA